CTGCAATCATCTTTCTTAGGGAAAAAAGCAACACTGTCTACAAAGGTATGAAAAATACCTAAGTTTGGGTGGTCCTGGTTTCCATCCAGATCTCAGTGAAAGACTGTTACCTTTTTTTTTTTTTTCTGGTTCTGGAACTTGAACTTGGGGCTAGGGTATTGTTCCTGAGTTTTGGGTTTTGTTGTTGTTGTTGTTTTGCTTAAGGCTAGTGCTCTAGCACTTGAGCGACAGCTCCATTTCCAGCTTTTTTGGTGTTTATTAGAAATAAGAGTCATGAACTTTCCTGGCCAGCTAGCTTCGAATCACAATCCTTACATCTTAGCCTCCTGAGTAACTGGGATTACAGGTGGGAGCCACTAATGCCCAGCTGACCTTTATCATTTTGACACTAAACCATAGAGGTCTGCTTAAAGCAAACTTTCTAGAAACAGAAAGAAAAGCATATACTTACTTAGTCTCCACAAGGTGCTACATTTTTACACATTATCTTAGCTAATCCTCACTTTGGCATCCATTAAGCATAGAGAAGACTCAGAACCTGCCACATGCCTAAGGATCAGTATATGAATAAAAGAAAGGTAAAGAAAATTGGGAGAAAAGAAAACATACAATCCACATTTTGTCCTAGACTTCTAAATGAAAGCACTTTGTAGAACACATTGCAAATAATGTAATCAAGCTTCTAGCGTTTATTTCAGTGGATTGTTTTGGTTTTTTTTGGTTAGTCATAGGGCTTGAACTCTGGGCTTGGGCACTGTCCCTGAACTCTTCAGCTCAAGGCAAGTGCTCTACTGCTTGAGCTACAGCGCCACTTCCGGTTTTCTAGTGGTTTATTGGAAATAAGAGTCTCACGGACTTTCCTGCCCGGGCTGGCTTTGAACCGTGATCCTCAGATCTCAGCTAGGATTACAGGCCTAATTATAGGATTACAGGGCGCCACCAGCACCCGCCGGCTCAGTTTACCATCTTTCCTATGTTTACACCATCAAGAGAGCATCCACATGTGGCTACATACACTGAAGGACAGGACTTCATCCTGACTCGCCACACCTTGCACAGGTGGGGTGCTTAATGAGCTCAGCAATGAAGAAGGCCATAATGATGCCTGAGGATTGTGGGAGTAAGTAGAGCACAAGTCGCCCGCCCATTGCCACCGGACGAACTGGTCGCTGGGTTGAGTTACAACCCTTCTTATGTGTCAGCCTCATCTTTCTCCCTGTACAATGGGAATAATAGAACATGCCTCCAAAATTGTTTTATTCATTTTATAAATAGTCATCCATACATCAAACCTACTGAGCATTAAGCATTCACTGGCCACTGTGTTGGAAGCAACACAGCAATGAATGTGGCTGTATAGTCCTGGCTCATGGAGTCACAGTGGAACTATAAGACTAGAAGAAGGAGTTTCACAAACTTCAAAGGACTATACTGCTATGAAGTATGACTCCTCCCATGTCCTAGCTTTGTCAATAGCACCACCATCCACCACTTGCCAAAGCTGTAAACTTGGGAATGGTCCTCAACCTGTCTCTCCTTTATCCTGCCCATTCAGTAAATCACCAAGTCTCTTCTGATTCTCCCCTAGTCTCTAGAAACTATCAGTTTTGCAGGGTGATGGGGGCAGGGGTCATTGTATCTTCTCTTCCATCCCAGAGGGCAGTTCTCCATGGTCCCTAGTCTAGGGTTTGCTAAGCTTCGGCAGTTTAGAGGTGACTGAATTGCCTTTCAGGAGCCTTGGAGGGAAGTGCTGGCACACTGTGGAGGGCCAATCTGTTGTATTAACAGTTCAGAGTAGTCTGTCTTCTTGAGTTTGCCTGTGAGGACAGAGCCACTGCAAGCTGCCCTTGTTATTGCCCTCCAGTTTTCCATGCTTCCATAGTAGGCCCCTTTGCTCCTACCCAAATAACTGCAATCCTCCTGTAATATTGATAATGGCGAGCCAAGCAGTTATTGATCTCTCACCATATGGCAGGCACAGTGCTAAGAGCTTTGTGTGCATAACATACTTTAATCCTGTAAAGCTAATTCTAGGACCCTGATTCACACAGGAGGAACTGGAGGTGCACAATAACCTGCCCCTGGCATATAGCTATGAAGCCACAGCTCCAACAAAGCCAAGAAAGACTCTATCTTTATTCTTTACTGGATTCCTGCCTTGTCCTCTCCTTCGTCAGCTACAAACCTTTGTATATGCTGCTGTTGGAATGTTCTTTCAAACACCCAAATAAAAAGGCAACCAACAACAACTCACCAGTTCAAGGGACAGGTCTAAAAGCTAAAAGCCAAGCTCTAGCGCTATCTGTTCTGCATCAGACTCCCTACTAGGAAACACTTTCACTACTTTTCCAAACACACAAAACTCTGCTAACCCACCTCTCCCCTCCTCCTTCTGCAGAGCCACCTTCCTCCTTTCCCCTACTCCGCCCTGGACACACACCCAACTGCTATAATTATTCCTCCCCTCCCCTACCTACACTTCTACTCGTGACTTCCTGGAAAGCAGACCCACTGTTTTCTGATGCCCATAGTCTCAGTACAGTGGCAGGTTAAATAGAGTAAATGAATGGCACACAGGTGGTGTTAACAGCTCACAGCACCATCCTCAGAAGCAGGTGGGAGACTTTTCCCAAAGGACAATTATAAGAGCAGCTTACAGCAGCTCCTGTCCTCACAGACAAACTTAAGAAGACAGACTATTACAACTGAGATTGGCCCTCCACAGTGTGCCAGCACTTCTCTCCAAGGCTCCTGAAAGGCAATTCAATCACCTCTAAACTACAAAAGCTTAGCAAGCCTAGACTAGGAGACCATGGAGAACTGCCCTCTGTGATGGAAGAGGAGATACAATGACCCCCTCTCCCCCACCACCCGGCAATGGGGCAAAGCTTCCCAAAATGCACACTGGAAAAATCAGGACTCTAATTACTCCCAGTGAGTAACAGAGGACCCTGAATGAGGGAGAGAAAAGAAGCAGACAAAATGACTACAGACCACAAAATACATCACGTTCCCTATCTACAAAGCTACAACTGGAGTCCAGCCCACAGATATGAATACCTGAAATTGACTGCTTGCTGACCTCCCTGCCTGCCCCCTGCCCACTTTCCAAAGAGCAGCCAGGAATGTTTTGGGTTTTTTTTGTTGTTGTCAGTCATGGGGGCTGAACTCTGGACCTGGGCACTGTCCCTCAACTCTTAAGCTTAAGGCTAGCACTCTACCATTTGAGCCATGGCGCCACTTCCAGCTTTTTCTGCTTATATGGTGCTGAGGAATCCAACCCAGGGCCGCATGCATGCATGCATGCATGCACTGAGCCACTTTCCCAGCCTCAGGAATGTTTTTTAAATTGTACCAATAATTCGGACACACTCTGAAGTAATGCTCTCCAAGCTTTCCATCTACTCAGAATCCAAACTTTCTATAGGAAAGCTCAAGGTCCAAACCACCCTCCTTACCTTCCTGACTTCACACTCTCCCTTCAATCTCTATATTCCAGACAAATCCTCTCAGTTTCTTAAATTCCAGTCTTTTCCTACATGGTAAAGTTCTCTCTGCCTGGAAGACTCCTCCCCCAAATTTTTACAGAGTTGTTTCTTCTCAAAGCTCAGTTTAAACTTTACCTTTTAAAGAGGCACCGCCTACCCAGAACTTCCTATCAAGTCATCTTTTTTCTTGTTTAGTATTTATCAGCACCATCTCTAAAATGATTAACTTCTTCAAGTTATTTCTGTTGGTTTCAGTCTACAAACACACATGAAGGTGGAGACTGTTCTGTTCAGGCTATGAATTTAGATGAATGCATTAGGCCTTCAGAAAATTTCCAACATGTCTGTTGCCTATTATCAGAGAAGTATCGTCAAGATAGGATATTTTGTTGTTCTTTTAAAATAAAGAAAATATCAAATAGAGATTTAGTAGGCTAGATAAGCCCCAACTATGTGTTGGGCAATGTAAATTAACTAGTTTTCTGAGTTGAACATAACTCCTAAATCCCTCCCTCCCTTGGTTGGCCCTTCTAGGGAAAGAACTGTCACTATAATTCAAGCTCACACTGGCCAAAACAAGGGAAATTATGCATTTATACAGTTGCTTTTCAGTCAACTAACGCACTGTCCCATTCATTGCACTTTAGGGGAAAAAAACAAACAAGCACTTGTCCAGGAAAACTAAACAACAGGATGCAAAGTAAAGATGTCTCAAGGAGTAATTCGGAGACTGGGAGTTGGGGAGTCTCAAGCCTGGAGACTTGAAGTCCATATTTCTAGTTCAAGAGAGATGAGGGAAGCGTTGAGTCACAGGGTAAAATCTTGCAACGTGAGACACCCCAGGATATGAAGCAACCAAAAGTGAATCACAAGGCTGTGAGGACACCTTAGGCCTCGCAGAAGCTGAACACTAGCTTATTGGGTGGGCAAACTGAGCCCTCAAAGGGAAAACTTGTTCATGTCCGCACAGTGCGGGAATCGGGTGGCCTCTTTCTCCTCCCTACTCCTCACTGCTTTCCATCAAGGAGGAGAACCCTGAGTCAAGAGGTAGGGGAGAGGCCAGGGGCGGCTCACAGATTCCAGGGGGTTGAGAGAGGGGAGGGGTGGGACTAGGAAGCACATAAACAAACGACAGGATGGAAGCAGAGGCAGAGAAGCTCAGAAGGCGCGTGAGGGCACAGGGAGGAGGAAAAGGCAGCCGAGAAAGGACCAGAACGGGGGAGGGGAAGCCCAGTGTGGTCCGAGTCTGAAGGGGCTTGGTAGGGTGAGGGGGCCCCAAGTGGAGAGGGGTGCGACGAATCAGATGGTGGGGAGACCTTACTGAAGGCCTCGGAGAGACACTGAGGGGGTCGGAGGTAGAGGAGACCTGGAAAGGCTTGGAAGGAAGTCTGACAGGGAAGAAGAGTTCGAGGGTCAGAGTAGACCCCGGGACTAGTTAGAGGAAAATGGAGTCTGGGCCCCAGGAGCCCGAGCGGCGCCCGTGGGGAGACTGACGGGGCCGGGCCGCCTCACCGCGCTTGTTTTTGGTGCCGTGCTTCTTGGCGGCCGTCAGCTCCTGGTCGATCTTCTTCTCCAGGAACTCCTGTTTTTTGCTCAGCATCTCCTCCGTGTCCCGCAGCCGCTGGATGGCCTCCTGGGGGGTCGGGCCGCCCTTGCCGGCCTTACCCCCTCCGGCCCCAAACAGCTTCCCGAACACCGACATGGTTGCTGCTCGCCGCGCCGGCCTTCGCCGCCCGCTCCGGCTCGGCTCCGGAGCCCGCTCCCGGCCCC